AATATGGCGCAACACTTTGCAGTGGTCGATATCGGTCATCGAATGTATTATCAAGAAGATTCACTATGAAACGTTCCATCGGTGAAGTATAGAAGTAATCTCGAGGATTATAACGGAAAACTGACATTGTAACACTTACTGAATTATCGACAGATTCTTCTAAACGGAGAAATATTTAAAGAAATTACAACCAAAATTTAAAAAGTTTCCGAAGAAATCGAAACTGCGTAACTACTCAAAATTCAAAAGGTCCCTTTCCCTACTGAAAAAGAAAAAAATTACGTTATCGGGCACATCCATTTATTTTCTTGATTTGAAGAACTGAAAACAACGGAGAAGAAAACGAGAGGAAACTACTGTCAGATGGACTATTCACCGGTTATTGAATTGGGCAATAGGGATTAGATAGAAAGGAATGTGCCGGATAACTCCCTGACTGGATCCGGTCGATAACAAAATAGCATTGGTCAGTGCATCCATCGCAGTCTCTCTTATATAGTCTTTCAATCGGAATTTTCCAGCAATTTCTAGCACTGCTGCAAAATGGCGCTCTATTCCGTATTGATTGAATCTGTTGTGTTCACCCGTCGCTGCTGAAGGCCAAAGATTATTCTGGAACTCTCGAGAACACTTTGTTTTTTCATTCCGTCTTGCTTGCACTTATCAGCGTGGGAATTTCAAACTTTTAATGCAAAAATGAGAAAATATGGAAAAATCACATTGGTTAAGGTCATGCGATGATGATTAAGGTCAAAAAGATTTTGTCGTATTGAAAGGAAAGATTTGCTTATCTTTGATAATACAGTATAGATCATAGATCATTCCGGAACTTTCTTGAATGCCTTGTCTTTTCACTCTTTTTGCACTTATCGATAAAAAAACAAAAGGGAAAAAAGAAACGAAATAAAAAAAAAGCAAAACAAAACAAAAACTTTTTGTGATTATACTAAAATTAGTATAAACACTTTAAAGTTTTAATGTAAAAATGAAAAGATTTTGCTGTAATGGAGAAAACATTTGCTTACTTCTGGAAATGAATATTAATATCTAATTAACCACTTGAATTGACATGCAAAAGATAGCAATTATAGCATTTTTGATTTGAAATGGCCAATTTTGCAAATTATGGAGGAAAGTTTTAAAGTGCAAATTTCTAAGTACAAAAATGGCAAACTTTTTCACTTTTTTCATTTATAAATTAGATTCATTTATAAAATAGACCAATTAAATTCGCCACAAAATTGAAATTGAAGTTCGAGATGTGATATTAAAGTGTAAAAATAACAAACTTTTTCTCTCTTCATTATTTTCGGAATATAATTTATTTTTATTTCCGAAATATGTTTTAAGTTATTAGTCTTCACAATATCGATGTGATTTTTTTCATTAACTAAGAATTTAAGATTTTATAATTTCTGTTCGGCAACATAATATATTATAAAATGGACAAATGTTTTCAACTTTTCTAAGATTTCATTTTCTCTTAATTTTTGGTTTCTTTTTGTCTTTGCATTACAACTTTAAAGTTTCCATGCATAACTGCAGCATAAGTACAAAAGATTTACATTAAAACTTTAAAGTGTTTATACTAATTTCAGTATAATCACAAAAAGTTTTCGTTTTGTTTTGCTTTTTTTTTATTTCGTTTCTTTTTTCCCTTTTGTTTTTTTATCGATAAGTGCAAAAAGAGTGAAAAGACAAGGCATTCAAGAAAGTTCCGGAATGATCTATGATCTATACTGCATTATCAAAGATAAGCAAATCTTTCCTTTCAATACGACAAAATCTTTTTGACCTTAATCATCATCGCATGACCTTAACCAATGTGATTTTTCCATATTTTCTTATTTTTGCATTAAAAGTTTGAAATTCCCACGCTGATAAGTGCAAGCAAGACGGAATGAAAAAACAAAGTGTTCTCGAGAGTTCCAGAATAATCTTTGGCCTTCAGCAGCGACGGGTGAACACAACAGATTCAATCAATACGGAATAGAGCGCCATTTTGCAGCAGTGCTAGAAATTGCTGGAAAATTCCGATTGAAAGACTATATAAGAGAGACTGCGATGGATGCACTGACCAATGCTATTTTGTTATCGACCGGATCCAGTCAGGGAGTTATCCGGCACATTCCTTTCTATCTAATCCCTATTGCCCAATTCAATAACCGGTGAATAGTCCATCTGACAGTAGTTTCCTCTCGTTTTCTTCTCCGTTGTTTTCAGTTCTTCAAATCAAGAAAATAAATGGATGTGCCCGATAACGTAATTTTTTTCTTTTTCAGTAGGGAAAGGGACCTTTTGAATTTTGAGTAGTTACGCAGTTTCGATTTCTTCGGAAACTTTTTAAATTTTGGTTGTAATTTCTTTAAATATTTCTCCGTTTAGAAGAATCTGTCGATAATTCAGTAAGTGTTACAATGTCAGTTTTCCGTTATAATCCTCGAGATTACTTCTATACTTCACCGATGGAACGTTTCATAGTGAATCTTCTTGATAATACATTCGATGACCGATATCGACCACTGCAAAGTGTTGCGCCATATTGGCTAAATCAACCAGTACTGAACGAATGCAATATCGGAAATGCGCTGGGAGAGGTAAATAAGCATTTGCTATTTTTAGATTTGAAATTATCATACATTGATTTTAATTGATTTTAATTATTGGTATTAGCCTAAAAATGTTATGAAAATGTCTTCATCGCCATACAAAATCTCATCCTTCGTCCTTTTTTGTTTTCATTCATTCAATATTTTAAATGTTTGAATTGTAAATTTCAGGTAATAAATGAAAAGGATAAGTTTGCAATTCAAGTTGATGTTTCCCATTTCCATCCGAAGGAACTTTCGGTATCGGTTCGAGATCGTGAACTAAGTATTGAGGGTCATCACAAGGAACGTAACGACCATTCAGGACATGGCAGCATTGAACGTCACTTCGTTCGAAAATACGTCATGCCAGAGGAAGTGCAAACTGACACTATCGAATCGCATTTGTCCGATAAAGGAGTGCTGACAATCTGCGCCACCAAAACAATGATCGGTTTACCTGCAGCACGAAACATTCCTATTCGAGCATCTCCAAAGGAACCGGAAGCAGGTGAGAAGTCGGCGTCAAACGGTACAGGGCAGTGAAATTCTTACGCCACTTTGTATATTTTCACTGTACATATTAAAAAGAGGAAATGTTTCATGAATGAATTTTGAATTCACTCACTCATCCGTTCGTATAAACCGCAACAATTCTTTCCGTTAGCTGCAATTGCTATTTATCCCTTTCATTTATAAGTCTGTCAGTTTCTTTCAGACGAAAAATCCTTCATTCAAATCAATTTGAATTTTTACATCTTCAGCTTTTCATTCATGGATATTTCTTAATAATGAATTTAACTTTAGGCTGTTCTTTTTGTGGAACGTTCTCTTCTTCGATTGTTTTATGTTATTTCATTAAAAAAGCAATTAATCGTTTTTTCGGAATATTCTACTTTTATTCTTATCTTCATGCGTTACTGTATGACCAAATAAATTATTGCATGTTTTATCTCTATCAGTATTCCAATATTTTGTTAAATAAATAATTTGTTTAAACTGTGTTATTGGAGTAACAAATGAATAGTTTTCATATTAATATACTACCAAAAAGTTAGGGAGAATTTGTGTTCCCGATAATTTAACTTATAACGCTCAAACACTTAAATGTTTCCGACTTTCACTCTTAAATAAATAAACAGTACCAAAGGCGCCAAAGCATCTATCTGCGGATGATTTCATTGCTGCTAGATACAAATCGTATAATTCTGAATATTTCAGCAATACATAAGTAAATATCTTATTATGAAGTATTAGGACGTAGACTCAACTGTGAGATGATCCGATTATTACGAATTTACAATTCTTTAAGCCATATTTCGATATCTCTGAGAATTATCCATTTATCCTAAGTTTTATATCTTTCGATTTTTCGTTATTTTTCTTTGTATCTTAAAAAATTGATATTATTTCTCACACTCTTTTGCTTTATTGCTAAAATTTTATTAGTAAGATGAACTTTTTTCATGGTTTCATTTTTGAAATTATGAGAAAATAGCTTCAGCATTGATCTATTTATTAACTCAGACTTTGGGCAGAATTAATTTTTGATTTTCATCGATATGCACATTTTTCATCTTTTTTATTGTTTTTTTTTTTTTTTTTTTTTGAATGGTTGAATAAGATTGGAAGACTGAGAAAAAGGGAAAAGAACTTTCGGGTAATTTAACCAATTTCTTATATTTTTCATTTCAAGCATAATATGCGGGTAGATCGATATATATACATCTATGTAGCACAACATGTGGTAATATGGGTTTATCTGCTTAGCGGGTGGTTTATGGCTTTTTCAAAAAAAAAAAAAAAAAAAAAGAGAAAAAAGAGAAAGAAAGAAAATAATGGGATGAGCAGTAATGAAAATAATACTAGAATTTTTCAATTTCTTTTTTTTCTTTCAAAATTGAAGAATTGGAATTGAAATGAATGTTTGCGCAATACTTTCATTCTCTTTCCTTGTTTGCTAATAAACTTTAAAAAAAAAAATAATAATAATAATCATTTCTTCATCTAATAATTTTAAAAATTAATTAACGAGAAAAATTTTTGAAATATACTTTTTGCATAATTGGAATTGAAATGGATGTTTATGAAATCATTATTATTATTAAAATAATATCGTTTTTGTTACCAAAATATTATTTATAAGAATGAAATTAATAAATATATTAAAAAATAACTTATGTGACAATTTAACAATTTATGCGACAAATTAAACTGGAAACTGCGAAGAAGCTAAAAGTAATAAGGTTTATCTGTTAAGTAAGATAAATCAAATGACAAATAGTGATAATTGTATGTTTTCAATTGTGGAAGCTATATGATTAAATAAAATATTTTTAAAATGAAACTATCATCATTCATCTTTCTTTTCCATTGATGACATATGCTAATTAGAAATTGCCATCATATATACTATATCCTTGTTACGGTATACTGAACTGAAGGCATTATCATAGTTGCGATTTGCGCACACAATGACGTCTGCGCCAGATGTCGGTTAATCCCATTTTTAATTCTTACCTTCCCGCTGTTTATCCTTTTATAGACTCTCTGGAAAATCCATTTCTCTTCTGATAAACTAACAATTTACTGCACATCCTATCGCCCTTCAACAACAAAATCTTTTGTTTTAGTCGGCAAATATTTCTTCATTATTTACGATTTTTAATCCTTTCATTACTTAGCTTATATCATTTTACCCAAATTATTACCCAAATTAATGAGACTTTAAATTTTAAATTAATGTTATTACTGATCATATGACATCACTGATGTTCGATAATTCTTTATTGAATTATTTGATAATTATATTTATGTAATGAAATGACAAGAAGAGAAGAGAGAATTAATTTTGTAATAGAATTAATAGCAGATGTATGTAATAATTTATCATATATATTATGTAATCATTATCATCAGATAATTGCAGAGCATTCCGGGTAAAGAATGGTAACTAAGAAAATCCCGGGTAAAACTATGATATAGGGGAGAAATTAATTTGGAATAATCTTTTTTTTTTTTTTTGGGAGGCCATTTCGTATTTGCCCACCATCGTTAATTATGTGACACAAGTTGAAAACTACTGATAATTATAATTATAACTGCAGAATATCCAGGTAGAATCGCCAAATTTCCTGATATTACTTTTAACTTAATCAATAGAATTGTCAAATTTCTTGATATTACCTTAAAGTTAATCCATAGAATCGTCAAATTCCTTGAAACAACCATAAAGTTAATCAATAGAATTGTCAAATTCCCTGATATTACCTTAACTTTAATCAATATTTTCTCTCGTTGCAAAAGGAGAGAAAATAAAGTAATGACAAAGTTTGAAAATGAAAACATTATCGTACATTTAATCAATTTTTATTCTCATTTCAAAGTTTTGATTGAAGCAAAAGTGAAAATAACACGACGAGATGGAATATATTAAATATTTCTGTTCAAATTTTATTATTCATAAGATTATTATTATTATTACAAATTTTTATTATTATTATTATTCATAAGATTAAAGTATGATAAGTATAATAAGTAATTACAGTGTATTCCATCCATCCAAAATAGGACATTCGCAAATGTCCCATCAACCATTTATACGAGCACATTAATTTCATTGATCGAATAAAAAAGATTAAATTAAGTCTATAAGAGATATATGCAAAAAAAAAAAAAAGAAAGGAAAAAAAAAATAAAATAAAGAAAAATTTATTACTCTTAGCGCCAATAAGGAAAAAGTAAATACTATGTGATATTTTTTGCTTTGTATATGCAAATTTCAGCTAACAAAATTCATTTTTCTTTATTTTTTCAATGAATGTAAACTTTTAACTTTTGTTGAATTAAATTAAACTCTTTTATTTCCACTGAAATTATCTCAAATTACAGTTTTTTTTTTTTTTTCATTACAAATTAAAAGAAAGAAGAGAGAGAGAGAGAGAGAGAGAAGGACTAATAAAAAGTTAGTTTTTAATTGCAAATTTTCCTTCATTCAATAAGTAATATTTTTATTACAATCAATTTAAATGTAAATATATCAATTTAATTCTTAATTGTATTTTTTTTAAGCAAAATATTTGAATAAAATAAAATTTCTTTTTATGACATTTAGTAATTATTAAAAGAAATTATACAAATAACTTTTTTATCCTTCCCTTATTGATGTTTATCATTTCAATAAATTGTTTTTAATTATTATAAAATTTATGCATTAATTCAAACTAGCAATTGAAATTTAGTAAACAATCCGTTTTGATCCATCTATTTTATGCCATTTACACTTCTTTTCGTCAGCTGTTTCAACACTTTTTCCATGTAATTTAATTAGAATTAAATCACAATTCTATTAATTCAAAATGTTACATTTAATGTCAAAATAAAACAACAAAACATTGTTGTAGTAATTAAATCCGATGAAAATTATAGCAATCATTTAATCTTCTCACAGTTTATCGATATTTTCTTTTTACATTTTAAAAAAAAAAAAAAAATTCCGAATTTTATTTTGTTGATTGTGGAAGAAAATTTTGATTAATTAGTCATTTCAAAAATTTAATTTAATTTAATTTAAAAGGCACTATGTTGACATGATTAATAATTTAAAAAAATCATTTCATAAAATTTTTATCTGCATAAGAGTTTAATTTAGAATTTAGGACAATCAATAAATTCACAAAGAAAAAAAAAAAAAAAAACAGAGAATGATGAATGTCAACGTTTCATTATCACATATTTATTGGCTAATTAATCCATTTGCGCCATCAGTGCACATTGTTTGTTTAAATTAGCTTTTTAATATTTGAATTTTTGAAATGCTCAAAAAAAAAAAAAAAAAAAAAAAAAGAAAAAATCTCTACAAAAGATATTACCTACTACTCAAACATCTGCTTCTGTTAAATATTTCACATTTTTCAATAGTGAAAAAAAAAAAAAAAAGAAAGAAGAAACAAAGATATTTTATCAGAAATTCTTTCTAAACTCATTTCTCATACATTTCGATAATAATTTCAATTTTTTAATTTGTTAAAAATTACTGTAAACGTATGCTTTTGGCTTATTATTATTTCAAAAATTTGTTTAATAATATTTTATAAAATTAAAATATAAAATATTAACCTTTTTACTATTGCAAATAATAAAATTTGCGATTGTTTTTCACTACTATTTATGCAATGACAAATGTCTCCAATTTAAATTTTAAATAAAAAGTTGAAATAATTTTTTGTAAAAATATTTTCAGTAAGATTTATGGTATATTTGATAAAAATTGATGGAAAATGTTATCACTTTTTGACTTTTTATATTTTTACACAGCAATTAATTAAGAATGTAATATAAAAAATGTTAAAAAAATGATTAAATTTTTCACCACTGTAAATAATAATTAAATAACTTTTACAAATAAATGAACAAAAAATTCAAATTGAAACATTTCTATAAAAAAAAAATGAAATTAATTTAATTTATAAAATCCATTAAAAAAAAATAACATTTTAAAAACTCATATTATAAATGTATAAATATATAAGTACACATATATAAATTAATAAATAAATAAATAAATATATATATAATATGGTATTTGTTTTCAATCAAACTTTAATATACTATTTAAAACTCTGATTTAAATTCTTACTTTAAATTGCTTATTTACATAATGGGAATATAAAACGTTGAACGAGTGAATTTCAATTTTTTATAATTCAATAAATAATCAGTTTGACAGACAATACCTGATTTATACTTACTTTTCATAGTTATGGTCTAACTTTATGCTATATCAATTAGCTATAGCTATTCGTAATGAAAAACATTAATTTGGTATATTAAATTTAGTATTTAAATAGATATAATATTTAATATATTTTCGTTTTTGTTTTTTAGTAAACTAAGAAACGGAAATTATTTATTTTTATTTTTATTTATTCATCAAAATAAAAAAAAAAAAAATGGAAAAACAGAAATATAATGAATATATTGTCTTTTGTTTAAAAAATTCAGTAATTACTATGTATGATTAATTATCATTCCTGAATTTTAGTACTGGTAGATGTGATCGAATTAATAATTTGTTTGATTAAATTTTACAAATTTCATATTGTTATTGAAAATTATATAATTTATTAAATTGTTGAAATGTTTTCATTCATTCATTCATTTATCGACAAATTTACTTGTTTACTTGAAAAAGTTAAATGGAAAGATTATCAACTGTTAATGGATAATAAGCAGTTGTTATTTGATACTAACACTACAACAATTGCCATTTATATTGTTTATTGTTACGTCATTTGATACTTTCTTGATCGATAATTAACAAATAAATGAATTTGATAAATAACAAAAATAGCAATAAAAAAAAAAGACAAAAATTCATTTAATCGATTCATTTATGTTTTAATTTATGTAAAAGTGTATTAGATAAATGTTTATTATCCTTTTTTTTTTTTTCTTTGATCTTATTTACTCTATCGAATATTTCTTTACCCAAAGTAAAATATTCTTAATTTATAGTAGCATACCTTATGAGACAATAATTAATAAATGATTAATTAACATTTCACACTTTTATTCTCAATAATAATAGAAACTATTTTCCAAAAAAAAAAAAAAATATAAAAAAGTTAAATGTTTTTTTTTTTGGGGGGGGAAAACTCCTACTTGTCTCTAATGTACAATCACTAATATAGGGCACAATGAAATTTTATTTATTTATTTATTTTTTTTTTTGCGGCTCATTTTGATCTGATTGATTGATTTATTTTTGTTGACATTTTGGATTAATGTATAGCAATCGCAAATGAATGAAAGTAATCCAAAAAAAAAAAATGAATGTATTCTACCTACTGCCAAATCCATCATTAATTGATATTGTTGAATAAATAATTAAGCACTTAAAAAGGTGTGATGACAAATAATTGATTGACAACTTTTGTAATTGACAATTACATGAGAAAAAGGGAAAAAAAAAAACAGGAAGAGAAAAAGAAATGAAAATACCGGAATTTCTATTCAATCATTTTAAATTTAACTGCATTATCAGATCAAAATTTATGATCCTTCCACTCAACGATAACCTAAAATATGATGGAAATGGACTGCAACGATTCAGAATGTTATTTAAATCATAAAATTAGATTATTTTAATATTGCAAAATCATTTTCTCTCTCTTATCATCATATCCTCGTACACAAAAAGTTTTTCAAAAAAAAAAAAAAAAAAATTTATTTGAACTGAATTTTTCACGTTTTCAAATACTAATTTTAACTTTTTGCCTGAATTTAAACTAACTAATTCTATCATTTTTAACTTTACTTATTCCTAACCTAACCAAACTAAAATTTTTTTTATAAGAATTAAAATATGAATATAAGCTAGTTTGTCCACAAATTAGTATTTGTATTTATACTGCTATTTTACTTTATTTATTTAAATTCTACTTCATTGGTCATTTTATCACATAATTTAAATTAATTTCAATTTATCACTGATAATTTAAATTAGATTATAGCTAATTATATCAATAATCTGTCAACTGTTCTTAGAATTATAAATATTATAAACAATATGAGAAAGATGATAAGGAGGTGTATACATACACATACACATACACACACACACACACATACATACACATACACACACACATACACATACGCACACATACACGCACGCACACATACACGCACGCACACACACGCACCTGTTCCATCTATTCTAAGAATTTAATAATCTCTTAGCAGCGCTCTTTTCGTGCGGCAAAAAATAGCCAAGCAATTATTCTTAAAATTTATCAAATTTAAATTAGAAGAAATTAGTGCAGATTATTATTTGTTTGTTGTTGTGTTGTTTGTTTGTTTATTTGTTGTTGTTGTGTTGTTGTTTGTTTATTTGTTGTTGTTGTGTTGTTTGTTTGTTTATTTGTTGTTGTTGTGTTGTTGTTTGTTTATTTGTTGTTGTTGTGTTGTTTGTTTGAAAAAAGTGATCTAAAACATTATCATTATTTCCTCATTTTTCATTCCTTATCACGCAAATTTATCAGCATACTCAATTAGTTGACAAATTTTCATTAGCCTATCCTCAAATACATCGCTTTCATCTATGCTTCATTGTTATTTTAAATTTTAACATTTAATTCTTTTACTTTCCTTTTGCCTTCTTATTTATCACTAATACCCAATTTAAAAAAAAAAAAAAAAAAAAACTTCAAATTTTGAAGATTAGAAAAATTTCAGCTTTATATTTTGCCTTGTGAAAATTTCTGCTTCTTCTTTTCTTTTCTTTTCTTTTTTTGTTGCTATTTGAATTTGAACTTATTTGGTGCTGCATTTTTTATTTTTCATTTCATTTTTTTCTTTCCATTCTTTTCTTCTTCAGAAATATTTTTATGCAATTCCTTTCATTCTTCTATCTTCTAAGAAAGGAAAAAAAAAAAAAACTGAAAAATTTATTCAAATTATTAAAAAAGTTAAAAACTTTTTTTTTCTTTCTATTTATATTTATATAAAAAATTATCTCTTCTTTTCCAATGAAAATTTTTATGAAAATTTATTAAAAAAAAAAAAAAAGAAAAAAAAAGTTAAGTCAAATAAAATCTATTTGATGTTTGACATTTTA